GGGTGCTCCTAAGAAAAATTAAGAGCCAGTTTGGTGTAGTGTTAAATCTGCGGGCTACAAACCAGAGGATCACGAGTTCTTGTCCCACTTTAGACATAAAGTCAAATGGGTGACCTTGGGTTGCAGGTAGCCCTTGACTTAGAAGCATCCTTTTAGCCACCAAAAGTTACAATGACATTGAAAAAAGTCAATTGGGAAAGCTGAATTTTTATAACGACTATGTGGTTCATTTAACTGCAGTGATTTGCTACAGCAAGCATGGCAAAATAGTTCGTACAGATGAGTATAGCTCACTTAACAACTACCTTGCTTAGGAATGAACATTCTAGCCCAGGGGTGTCAAACTCAAGGCCTGGAGGACGGATCTGGCCCATGGAGTGCTTAGATCTGGCCCGAGGGGCTGCCCTGGAAACAGCAAAGGACTGGCCCGTGGTGCCTCTGCCAGTGAAAGTGGAGCTTCAGAAGGGCTGCACGCGGCTCTGCTGAGCTCCGTTTGCAGAAGACCATCGCAGCCAAAAATGGAGCTCGGGAGCCTGTTTTCGCTGGCAGAGGGCTCGGGCCACCACAGGCGCCCTGACATGAGTGACATCAAGCTGGCCACGCCCACCCTGATCATGCCAACCCCCAAGGTCAAACACAACCCTGATGTAGCCCTCAATGAAATTGAGTTTTGACACCTCTGTTCTAGCTCCAATTGTTGTAAGTCAAGGACTACCTGTAGTCAGAGGTGGTATTCAGCTGGTTTGGATCGGTTCACCCGAACTGGTAGCGGAAATCGCAAGTGGCCCTGCCCCCCCGCCCCCTTGCACCGGCTCTATGCCATCCTATTTAGGCATGCTTTTGAGGCCGGGCGCATGTGTGGAAGGCGCATACGTGAGCAAAGGACATGCATGGAAGCCCAGGGGCATGCACGGAAGGCAGGCCCATGCATGAACCATGCGCGTGCGCGCATGAAGCGAGTATGCGCACACAGGGCGAACCAGTAGTAACATAATGTGAAACCCACCACTGCCTGTAGTCACTCTCTTTCGGCTTTCGGAAGAGAACTATCATGTGCTTATAAGAATGTCATATCAATATTGAGATTTTGCATTTTTATCAGGGGTGAAATGCTCCTGGATCGGACTGGATCGCCCGATCTGGTAGCGATTTTTCCCTGTGGTTCGGTGATCTGGTAGCGATTGCTGCCCGGATGTCATTACTTCCTGATTTTAACCAGGAAGTGATGTTTTCTTAGCTTCTGAGCATGCGCAGGTTTTGCGCATGTGCTTTTGTGCATGCGCATGTGATGCGCGTGCACACAAGCGAAGCAAGCGCACACACATGGCATGTGCGCTTCTGAACCGGTAAGGAAGGTAAGTAGATTTCACCCCTGATTTTTATAATGCAGCAATTCTGCCAAATCATTGTTGGCAAATTGTGGCTTATTGATCAGCATGGGCCTATCCTATGTGTAATGCTTGGATTTTATTGCATATTAATGTGTACATTTGGCCGAAGTTGGTTACCTAAAAGAGATGAATTACACTCAAATTTGATTTATGGCTTGCTGCTATAGAGTACCATGTCCAGCAAAATTTTCTACCACCTATATTAGCAGATTTAAATTCTTTGAGCAATTCTTCCGCCCTTGTCTAGCCTAATTTTCCACTTAATTCATGCCTGCTTGTTTCTATAAGGAAAAGTACAAGGCCATTTTATTTCATGCATTATTTATGCTGGCAACTAAAAAAGATGAACACCTATGCCCGCAGAAGTGCTTTGTCAAATGTATTCCACTATCTCCTATTGATGCTCAGCTGGGGGTAGGGAGAAAATAATCACATATTGGAGGGTGAGGGAGGAATTCCCAAAGCTCAGATTGTATAATGATTCTGCAGTAAATTGTCCAACAGGGTGTACATGATACTAGACTGGCTCAAGCCTCATTTGGAAAAAAATATGCTTGTATCTAAAAGAGGAATTAAGGCAGTGGTGAAATCCTCCGCGGATTGCCACTGGTTTGCTGCCTGCGCATGCACTGTGCATGCCAAATGCACGCCGTGTGAGCGCATGCAGTGTACGCCAAACACATGCAGCACATGCATGCACAGTGCACCAAATGTGCACTGTGCACCAAACACAGGATTTCCTGCTTTCTAGTGAATATAAATCTCACGGCACAGCTGATCGTCAGAAATACCAGTTCGGACAAATCGATAGCTTTTATCACTACTGGTTCGCCTGAACTGGTGCGAACCGGTAGCATTTCACCCCTGAATTAAGGACCATCTCTGGACCAAGTGGATCCTACCAGATTAATAAGGCAGTGTTTTGTTCACATTTGGAAGTTGAAAACGCTTTAAGTGTATTTGCCCTACAAGTACTTCTTCTGGCAAACTACGTTGGTTGAACTTCTACTAGGATCCAAAGATGTTTTATCATCCTTGTATCTACCAATTCGGTAAGCTCTACTTGAAACTCCTACGTTCGTAATAGTTACGTGCATCTCTCTAGTCCTTTTAAACCCAAAAGGTCAGACAGTGAACACAGAATAAAACTCAAGTCAGACACAAATAAATATTAAGAACTCGACATTCCTCAAACCACTCGCCTATTTTGTGGGATGGAAAGGCATTAGCTTTTAGTGTTCCCATGCTGGCAAACACTTTTTTCTCTCACTGTGTGCTAAATATATAACCGCACAGCACTGACGTAGACTTTGGTTGTGAGGTTTTCATGCTCAGATGACAAAGGGATGTGTGTTTAGTGATTTGCAGGAAAAGTTCAGCCTTACATACATGTCCCAGACACTTAAGACATAAAGAATATCTCCTATCCTTTACTTCATTGGAAATTTTACCACCAAAAAAGCAAAGATTTTATTAATGATGCATATTTCTGGTCTGATAGGGATAGGTTTTGTCTTGTGCCAGTCATTTTCTCTCAGCTCTAGGAAGGAAGCAATGGCAAACCACTTCTGAAAAACCTTGCCAAGAAAAATGCAGAGACTTGTCCAAGAATTGGGCATAATTGAATGGAAGTGGGGAAAACCATAATAGATTAAAAGATATTGGTGTTCTAGTTTGTCTGAATTAATCTGTTTCTTAATTGTCAGATTGCACACTATTTAAGTCACTGGCAATATGCTTGGCTTCACTAGTTACCTGTGAAACACAACTTGTTGCTTAGTGTGCAAAGCGGCTTGGGTTCCCACAAGTGTAGCTGTCCCAAAAACTAATTTGGTAGTTCTGTGTTTTGCAAATCTAGGAAATCATCTATAGTTTATGATTTACTGTGTTGCAAACCTGAGTTATCCAAAGTAGAACAGAAGAATCCCTACATTTGTATTAGATGCTACCTAGGTAACTGCATTTTTGGGCAGCTATGTTTAAGCCACACAACATCAGCGCTAGAATTCTTGTTCCAGATTTAAAATTGAGCTGTAAACTGCAGCCCAGCTCCCGTGAAACCCACTCGTTTCATATGTCTTGATACGGCTTGATTTTGGCTTAAGTATGTTACGTGAACAGAGCCACGATTCCTTGGAAACAAGAATCCAGTGTTTAGTGCACTTTGTAAAGTTAGGCAATCCTGAATTATTTAACAAACTATGATTCAATCTGTTGAGCAGACAGCTAGCTTCAGAGCTTTTTTTTTTTTAACAGCCTCTCAGAAGAGTCAAAATGATTTCCTGGCTAGGCTCACCCAACACATTAGGGCTAAACGAGACAAGGTTCCCTTTTGGTGCACATCACAAAAACCCAGCCACTTAATAGGAGTGACCGACTGGAAGCTGAACGTGCAAAGGTCCACTGCATTCAATGGGCTGGCCACACGATCCTTCCCGTCCTATTCTTCTATTCAAAAGAAAGGCCTTGGAGTTCCTTGGGATCTGACCCGCTATCGCAGCCTTAAAAAGAGGTTCACTCTGCCCCAAAGACTCAGTGGCCGCTGCAAAACGGGTGTCCGGCGAAAGGCATCGAGATAGCAACCGCTTTCCCTTTGTTCACAACTCCACCTCATTTCATTGTGTATTGTTTTTACTGGGTTCGTAGCCTGCCTACCGCAGACAGCCCGGAGACTTCTTGCAGGAGGCGATCAAGCGAGGCTCCCTTCTCTTTTAAGGGAGCCCGAAGCACACCTGGCTGCGTGCACGCGCGCGGGCGCGCGCGCATGCAAGGGAGCCCCCAGCCCAGCCTCCCAGCCAGGACCCGGCGGTTGGCCCGGCGCCTGCGGCGGAGGTGTTAGCCAACGGGAAATGCATTGGCTCTTCGGCATCTCTCGCTCGGCTCAGTTCCTCATCACCGGCGCGCCGAGAAGAGCGGAGGCTGGAAGCTCGCCGCCGCCGCCTCCCAAGTAGATCCCGGCCTGGCGCGCCCTTGGGATCCCACCTGCCTTTCGTCCCCCCCTCTCCAAGGATCCATATTCCTGGGACCCCCGTCCCCTTCGGATCCCCTTTCTCGAGTGTTTCGCGGCCGCGGGTCTTTGCAGGATTCGAAAACTTCGCAACTTGTTCGCCGGGCGCCTTCGGAGCGTCCGCTGCTTCCCCTTTTTTCCTCCCAGTGCGATTCGGCCACGAGGAGCTGCAGTCGTCTCCCGTCTCCCCAGCCAGTGGGCCCGGCGGCTGGGCGCCGAGGCCTCGGCGGGAAGGATCTCCGGAGCAGAAAAGCGGCAAAAAGAAAAAAAGCGCCCAGACAAGAGGATCGGGTGCAAGAAGCCAAAGCGCGCGGCCGGTCCGCACATCGCCCGGCAACCCCAGGACGCCTTTCGGTTTCCCCAGCCCGTTTTTTTTTGGAATCGGCAGCGACTTGCGAATCGTGCTTTTTGCAAGACTTCAGGGGTTTCTTTCCTATCCTCTTTTTTTGGGAGGAACCTGAAAATACGGGATTTATAAAACCCTTTGATCAGAACCGCAGCGACTCCGATTCCCGCGCCTGCTAAAATAATCCCTCGCTCGCTCCCAACTTCGAAAACCCCCCAAAACTCTTGCAAACGGCTGGACTTTCTTTCCCCTCCACCCCTCCACCCCTCTTTGGCAATTCCCTCCCGCGCAAAGAAAGCCGCCCCTTTATTATTGGAAGGAGACTAAGGAAAAGGGGGGGGGTCGATCTTGCTTTAAATCTTGCCCCCTTTCCACCCCCCCTCCCCGAAAGGGAGGGAGGGAAGAAAAAAAAAAAAGAAAGAAGAAAAAGGATCCCTCGCCATGGCCGCGAGAGGAGACTCGGCCAGCGCGATCCCCGCTCGGGCCGGTTGGCGTCTGCGGGAAGACGAGCCCGCTTCGGCAACGGTCGCCGCCAGAGCAGCGGCGGTAGAGGGAGCTTTCGGAGCCGGTTGCAACGGCTGCTGCTCCTCCTTAGCCGGCCCGAAGGAAGTGAAGCAAAGCAGCAGCAGCAACCAGCGGGAAGGAGGCTCCTCCAGCGGCGAGAGCGCGTCTCCCCGGACTTGCCAGAGAAGCAAACTTTCCTGGGTTTTGGGCGCCGGGTCGGTGGCGCTGCTCTTGGCTTTGGGGACCCGTTTGGGGCCGGACATCCGAGGTCGAGACCGAGAAGAAGAAGCGGGCGAGAGGAGCCCCCCAGGTGAGCGCAGCTGGTCCCCGCCGCCCGGCCCGGCTCTGTGCTGTTGCTGCCTCCTCCTGGCCGTCTATTTCTGGCTGGGACTGGAGCTGCTGCGCGCCGGGCTCCGTTTGCGCACCGCCGTCCTGTTCCTGGCCGTCTGCTGCTGCGGCGGGGAAGCGCTCGTCGGCTCGGCGCTGGGGGAAGACCGCTTGCTCAACGCCGCCGCCGCCGGGTTGGGGCTGTGCAGCCTAGCCGGCTGGGCATGGCTGCTTCTGCCCCGGCTCCGCCACGGCGTCCTCATGCTGGCTTTGACTAGCGCGCTGCGCCTCGCCTCGCTCGTCTTCTTGGAAGGCGTCGGGGCCCCTTGGAGACCTCACCTGGCTTATCTCCTGGGCTTGCTGGGCATCCTTTTGGCCAGCTGCGCTCGGCACGCCTCGTCGGGCCGCCCCTCCGGAAAGCGGGAGGAGGAGAGCAGAGCAGGAGCGGAAGGAGCCGCGTCCTCCGCCGCCGTTGCTTCTGCTGTTGTTGCTGCTGCTGCTGCCGCCCGGCCGGCTAAAGAAGACGCGGCGGGCTTGAAGAGGAGGCGGCGGTCCAGCTCCGTGATCTCCGCCGAGATGGCAGGTTGCGGCGGCGGCAAGAGCCACCGGAGGACCTCGCTGCCCTGCATCCCTCGCGAGCAGGTAAGCGGGGAGCGCTGGGGCCGCTGCGGAGAAAGGCTTGAAGGCGCCTCAGCCGCCGTCGGCGCCCGGCTGGGGGGGAAGAGTTTTGCAAAATCCGCGCTGAGGCAAAGAAAGTTCGCCGCCGCTTTCCTCCTCTCCCTTGGAAAGGGGAAGCGACCTAGTTGGTGGAAAAAAAACAAAAACAAAAACCCGCCAAAATTAGAAGGAGCGAACGTCGCGACCCTCGTCCCTTTGGATCCCTTGTGCCCCCAACTCCCCCCTCCTTGCTTTCCTTTCCAGTTGGAAACAATTGGGGGGTGGAAGACCCCCATCTGCAGTCCTTCAAGATGGACTGAAGTGACCAGGGAAAGTAGGGGTAATTGAGCCAGCAAATCCTTTCTTAAGACCTCGAAGTACACGGGATAACTTGCTTTCTATAAGGAGTTGCGTCAGGTAAAGGATAAGAAGACTTTTTCAGGCTTGGTAGTAGGAGATTCCTGCAGCCTCCCATGAAGAAAATTAAAAATTTCATTGGGTTGATTAAATCGCAAAAGGCCAAGCATGCATAGGATAGTGGCTTGTTTTTGTTTAATGTTGTGGCCACTTGCGAAGTAGATCAGGACCACTTCCAGGTGGAGGTGCTGAATCCACCGTTTGAAGACCCCTGTCCCCAGTCCCTGTTAAAAGCATTTCGGGTTTTTTTTTTCATTCTTCTTTATTAAATTGCTTGGGAGCTTGTGATAGCTCTCTTGCGTAACTTTAAAGATCATCCCTCTCTGAGAATTATTTGAGAGAAGAATTTATCAGCAAAAAAAAAAGTATCTGTTGTGTTTTAAAGGAAAAGGACTTGTTTTTGAACAGCTGGTGGTAATTCTGCGCAAACTGATGTGTTACAAATCCAAAGCAAGCAGAAGCTAAATTCTATTTAGGGGTACGAACGCGTTGCATCTTTTTGGTGGCAAGGCCTTCAACAACTCAGTTACTTGGGTGTTTGCTTTTTTTTTTTTTTGCACACTTAACCATGTTATAGTTAGATTTCCGTTGATGTAACAGCTTATGTAGCTGGGTTTTCTGACTGCATCTGTGGTGTCTCTATTTGAGTTTGGGATGGTTGAGATGTTTGAGAAACTTTTTTTCATAACTTGAAGAAACCAGAAATTGGATTTCTTTGTGGTGCAAAGTTCCAAACGGCCAATATAGAAATGCAATATTGCAAGTTAGTTTTCATCTACTCAATTTTAAAGCTATTTTTCAACATTTAACTACTTGCTTGTTTCATTTTGTTTTGAGGAGCCAAGATCTTAGTCCTGGAAAAATGTTGAGTTGAGACCCACAATTTAATCCTTTGTATTTTTATGGATTCAGTGGTGGTCTATATGTATGATCAGGATTACAATATTATTTAAATTCAAGATACAGCCTTTCATTTAAGGTGATAAGTACTAATTGGACAGTTCTTTGAATGTGAATATTTCAATTCCACTGAGCGGTAAAATAATAAGCTTTGATAATAATATCAGATAATACGATGCTTTAATGGGTGCTTTAACAGTAGCAGGAATTTCCACTGGTTATTTTGGAGATGTGAATTTTCTTACTAAGTTTGAAGAAGAAAAGAACTTTAATCACACATAGTGGAAGAAGTTTTGTGTTTTCCTATTTTTTTTTAAAGAATATTTTTTTTGAATTCATAGTAAAGGATTGGGAGGAAAGGAGAAAATTCTGTAGCTATAAACAAGGTTTCTTGGAGGTCGAGTAAAATCAGTTAATCTGGTTGAATATTTGCATATGTATTAAGGTACCTGTACATGCCATTTGACTGGATATTGTTTACAAAAATGCATTTTAACTCCTTTTTTCCCTCCAAGGCAGTGACATTAAACTTTTAACAATTGGCAGATATTCCCCTCTTCAATGCTGGAATTGTTTAAATATACACTGTTTTCAGATTGCTTGTCTCATCTGCTGCAGGTTGTTTGAGGTTTAATTGGTCACAAATACACTTAATAAATTTAAGGGAAAGAACGAATACTGACCATATTTCTCAAGAGCCAAAACCGCAAATAAAAATGGATCCTGAAACTTGGATTCAGTCCCCAATACTTTGTCATATTATTTTGTGCCACAGTGGGAGGGAAAATAATAATTAAAAAAATGAAACCATACATTCTTAATTAAAACCAAGGGGGGGAGGGTGAAAATATGGCTATTTATATGAGTGATGTCAACCATATGTATTTTTTAAAAAATACATGTCATTTGGGGAAAGAATATGGGGTCTGGCTGCTATCGCTTCCTTACACAAACTTCTCAATATATCTTAATTTATGTGGTAAGAAAAATCAGTATCCTTAATTGGGTTTCCATTCATCTATATGGAGCTAATTATGCAACAGGAATTAAATTAGGGTCATTAAACAACAGTGCTATTCAGCAGTGCCGTTTCTCAGCTTGTAGAGTATCTTAAATCTCTGAGGTTGATTCAGCCAACTTGAATAGTGTTGTTTGGAAACGAAAAAAATGGATGGTTGCAAAATAAAATTATGTTACTGAAAGGGAAAGAAAAAGAAAACAGTTTGCATTTAACCTGGGAATATGTAACTTTACAAAGTTTTGTTTCAAAGTTTTAAACTCCCTTCTCCTTCTTTTTTGTATTTTTAAAGAACTACTGTACTTTGTGAATTATGTTAAAGTTTTTGATTGCCTGAACTGCAAAACTTTGATAGTTCTCCCTTGTCCTATGTAGAGAACAGTGTTATGAAAATACAGTAGGTGCTTTTACATATTCTTGTAAAAAAACATCATGGTTTGAAATTAAACCCCACAGTGGGAAATGAAAGATGCAGATTTTTAAAAACTGGGATTTCCTCTTAAAGTTTGTCAAATGATGTGGCTTGAACATTGAATGTACAGCATCAGGAAAATCATGAAGTAAATACACGAAAGTACTTGAAGAAATCATGAAGTACATGAAAGTTAGTGTTAGTTCTACTATATATTTTAAAAACTCACTTTTATTATGATCGATCTTACATAATCAATGCAAACGAGTAAAAAATGTAACTTTTTTACAATGCAAAAAAAGTACTTGGAAGTTAAAAAAAATGAACCTCTTGTGTAAAAGTTTAATGCTTTGTTCAGATTTTTGAATTTGAATACTTTTCGAAATTAAAAAAAACCCACTGAGAAATAAAAAAACCCAGATTATTAGGCTCATTTATCAGGCAAGAGAAAGATGTTTTGAGAAATGGTGTTTATTATTTTTGAATAACTCAAAGACGGTAGAATTTTAAGTTTTGGTGTCTGATTCAGGGTGGAAAAGAATCCATAAATTCCCAGACAGTTAGTGGCTCCCTGACATTATTCACTAATGCTCAGATGTGTGCAATATACAAGTGTTTTCAAGGATAAGGAAAGTGGGTTGAGACCAAAAGCTCTGCTTCCTCATGAGTAAGAAGTTTTTGGAAAAAAGTTTTGATCAAGTAGGTAGAACAAAATAGTAATGCATTTCTGTCACCAAGCACAAATGTTGCACTTGGAATGAATCCCATTGGATTCACCTAATTTGATGCCCGAGTGGAATGATGTTTCTGTTGTTGATAGTGTTGTTAAAGAGTCACATGGAGGAACTTGGTTATCGAAAAAGGCACCTGTCCAAAGGTATTCACATAGTTAGGTCTGCACAAACTGGCATGCATGAGTGTAGATGTAACCTGCCAACAGTGTTGTGAGATTCCAGCATTTCCCATTTTAGGAGGTTGTGATTTTGGGATTGCAACTAGGTGATTGTTGATTGCTTAACCTGGATTATGTTAATCTGGGGGAATCAAGTTGCCCAGGTCTCAAAAGATGTGTGGGGGGGGGGGAAGGGAATCACAGAGGGTATCACTTAAACCAAAAATAGCAAATGCATCACAAGATTCTTCGTTTCTGAATGGATCAGGATATAAGCAGCACCCTAATTTCTTGATTTTATCTGACATTTCTTCAGCTGCAAAGAGACGGCCTGGGAGATGGGTTGTGTCGATGGAAGTTGGTATTTATTTATGATCATTAATAAATGGGGTCTCTTCCAGAAGTTCGATAACGTAGGGTAGATGGGTCACAGCTTCCTAAATTCTTATTATCTAAAAGTGCTGGTCAGGAAATTAAAAAACAAACAAACATCGGGAGGAGCAGAAAAGTGCCCGTCACTGTTGCATGTCCTTAAAGTTTGGCTTCGATATTCAGAGACCACAGGAAGTTGCTTTTTACCATTTTAGGCTATTTTATTCCTTTAGCTTGATACTGTCTTCCGTGCCCTTCTTCATCACATGGAACTTGAGCTTCTCTTTCTGGAAATGTCTGGAATTAACTGCTTGAAAGGAAAACACAGGCCTTAAGAGTGGCCACCTGTGTTTGTGATTTTTTTTTTTTTTAATTTGATTTATATGCCGCCCTTCTCCGGAGACTCAGGGCGGCTTACAATGCGTTAAGCAATAGCCTTCATACTTTTGATTGAACTACGTATTTGTGGGTTTGATGTCTAGTCCGGGATATGTCTAAAAAAAACCAACGATGCTCAAGACCTTTCAGTAAGTAGAGATTTGAAATGTTTCCTGTTGTCCTGTCCCACATTCTTGCCCCAGAACCAGCTGTCCTACTTCTTTATAAGGTTCATACAAACACTCGTCGTGCATAACAACAAATAAAATCGTGGACTTTGGACGTATGTGCAAATGGCGGTGTTGACTTTATAACATCAATGAGGTTCACTCGTTTTTTTTTTTTTTTGCCTGTTATGACCCCATTGCCCTAGATGTTAAAGAGGATACCAAAATTATATTCCATAAATGTCTTGCATGCAACGCTAGGCGATGATTCTTTTTAATTTAATTGTTGAGGGCAATATGCTATTTAGTATACTGTCGATTGTTGTAAGCCGCCCAGAGTCCTCAGAGAGTGGGCGGCATAGAAATATGATTAATAACGAAAATAAATAAATAAATTGGAAATTGAACCTGCAGTCCTTCCATAAAGTG